GACTAAAGTGTGTGTGAAGACTAAAGTGTGTGTGAAGACTAAAGTGTGTGTGTGAAGACTAAAGTGTGTGAAGACTAAAGTGTGTGAAGACTAAAGTGTGTGAGGACTAAAGTGTGTGAGGACTAAAGTGTGTGAGGACTAAAGTGTGTGAAGACTAAAGTGTGTGAGGACTAAAGTGTGTGAGGACTAAAGTGTGTGAGGACTAAAGTGTGTGAAGACTAAAGTGTGTGAGGACTAAAGTGTGTGAGGACTAAAGTGTGTGAGGACTAAAGTGTGTGAAGACTAAAGTGTGTGAAGACTAAAGTGTGTGAAGTCTGGATTTGATGAAGTGACATTTTTCCAACGACCCTGTTTTTATGTGCGTCGGTTCAATCGCCTCATAGTTCATGAAATATAAAAAATCAAGAGAGATGGATATATTATAATTAAATCATTAGAATACATTCAGACTGTATATATTATAATATATACAAAATAAAATAAAGTCAATTACATTTAAAAATATAAATATCTTAATATAAAAAACAAGTAAAAATGTAATAATAACAAACAAATACATACAAATTAAATGAAAGGTTAAAAATAAGTAGAAACATATTTTAAAATAAATGTAAATAGTGTGTTTACGTTCCTGTACGCCTGTCTCTAGCCCCGCCTCTTTGATGACATCATCACGGTGATGAAAGACGGCGCGCTGTGATTGGTCGATGAGCGAAGTGACGGAATCAGTAATGAGCTAATCTGAAGGAGATCCTCCAACTCATGATATCAGTTTACTCACACACACACACACACACACACACACACACACACACACACACACACACACACACACACACACACACACACACACACACACACACACACACACACACACACACACACACACACACACACACACACACACACACACACACACACACACACACACACACAGCTGGGATGCCTTTACCCCCAGTTTCCACCGGGTCCGTCTGCGCCGCGGTTTTGGTCCGACCTCCTCTCGCGCCATAACCCACCGGACGCGTCCCAGAAGCGTTTCAGAAGCGTAGCGTCGTGCGTGCAGGCTCGCAGTTTTGTTATTGAGTCGGGCATCCTGGACATTTGTACTTCTACAAGAAAGTAGGCTACGTAGTTAAATGTTTTATTTCTGTGTCTGTTTAAATTGTGTTTATTGTTATAAATGTCCTATTTTGTTGTGTTGTAGACTACAGACACAGTTAATAATAATTGTAATAGTCCCGTTATAAACTACATGAATCAAAGATGTGTTGCTGTATTTTAGTGGTAAACAAATGCATTCATCATCATAATTATTCTATATATATCATTTACAGTGCCTGTAAACCGGAGGAGAACGCTGGCAGTTATTCTCCTACTTGAAAGACTACGGTAATAATAATAATAATAATAATATATAATATTTTTATAGCGCCTTTCAGGAAACCCAAGGTCGCTTTACAAGTCGGGTAGGGGGGGGGGGGGAGTAGGGGAAAAAAGGCAGACAGGTTAAGGGGGTGGGGGGGGGGAAGTAGCGGAAAAATAAACCTATTAAACTAACTACACTGAACAAAAATATAAATGCAACACTTTTGTTTTTGCTCCCATTCTTCATGAGATGAACTCAAAGATCTAAAACATTTTCTATCAACACAAAATAACCATTTCTCTCAAATATTGTTCACAAATCTGAAAGAATGTGTGAGAGTGAGCACTTCTCCTTTGCCGAGATAATCCATCCCACCTCACAGGTGTGGCATATCAAGATGCTGATTAGACAGCATGATTATTGCACAGGTGTGCCTTAGGCTGGCCACAATAAAAGGCCACTCTGAAACGTGCAGTTTTGCTTTATTGGGGGGGTCCGAAAACCAGTCAGTATCTGATGTGAGGGGTAGGGTTAGGGTAATGTTGTGAATTGAGTGGCCCATGGTGATGGTGGGGTTATGGTATGGGCAGGCGTATGTTATGGATGACGAACACAGGCCACTCAATTCACAACATTACCCTAACCCTACCCCTAACCCTAATCCTACCCCTCACACCAGATACTGACTGGTTTTCGGACCCCCCCAGACCCCCAAATAAAGCAAAACTGCACGTTTCAGAGTGGCCTTTTATTGTGGCCAGCCTAAGGCACACCTGTGCAATAATCATGCTGTCTAATCAGCATCTTGATATGCCACACCTGTGAGGTGGGATGGATTATCTCAGCAAAGGAGAAGTGCTCACTATCACAGATGTTTTCAGATTTGTGAACAATATTTGAGAGAAATGGTTATTTTGTGTTTATAGAAAATGTTTTAGATCTTTGAGTTCATCTCATGAACAATGGGAGCAAAAACAAAAGTGTTGCGTTTATATTTTTGTTCAGTGTAGATACAGTGGCGAAAGCCTTGGTAAAAAGGTGAGTTTTGAGGCCTTTTTTGAAAATGTCCAGGGTTGGGGCGCTGCGGATTTCGGGGGGGAGAGAGTTCCAGAGGGTGGGGGATGCCACACTGAAGGCTCTGTCACCAAAAGTCCGCAACCTGGTGCGAGGGGTGGAGAGGAGATCCTGTCCAGATGATCTTAGCTTCCGGGATGGAGTGTGGTAGCGGAGAAGGTCAGACAGGTATTGGGGGGCGAGGGCATGGAGGGATTTGTAAGTCAGAAGAAGAAGTTTATAGGTGATACGGTGCTTGACTGGGAGCCAGTGGAGGTGGATCAGGGTGGGGGTGATGTTGTCCTTGTAGTAAGCATTGGTTACATCATATCAAATAGTGTGTTTTTCCACTTCCATGATGAAAACCTCGTCGTCCATTGTGCGTATCGTAGTGGAGGTGTTGTGATGAAGGAGGGGGGTCTGCTAAATGAGTATATGTGGGGGATGGGCCTGGCCCGGATGCTCACCTTTCCACTTCCTGCGAGGGGGGGCAGCCTGCCCGACCTGAAGTTACGGCTGCGCCGCGGCAAAAATAGGATTCATCCTAATTTTAGAGAAGCGCTGCGCCGCTTCTGAGCCGTAACACGGCGCGTGTGGTGGAATAGCACCCATTGACTAGAGTGGCCGCGATCCTTACGGCCCCTACACACGGCGGCGTGCGTTACCGCTTGGCGGTGGGCGTGTCTGAAGCTTGGGGATTTTTTACGAACAACGCGACCAACAACCAATCACATGAATGTCCCGCCCCGGACATACAAAGCAAAGCATTCATGCTACATCCATGCTGGCTAAATATACTGTCTATGCTTGCTAGCTGTCCATTCAAACGAAGTACACTGGATATAAACTCCCCAAACAGGCGAAAACCTACCAGTTTCACCCACTGTCTCTGCCACCTCCCCCCATGCCTGGCTCCTCCGGTTTGTATCCCTGTATGTAAAGAGGGACTGGTCATATAGTACCGCCACGATAATTTTCTCCTCCATTTTTTGACATATGGGAAATAACTGCGGTCTGGCTCTCCCAACATACACACGGTTTGATTGGCTAGCGCTTGTACTGTCAGATTTGCATACGCGGGATTTGATTGGCTGACGCCTCCGTCGAGGCGGCAAAAGTAGAACATTGCTCTACTTTTGCAGCGAGCACCGCGAGAGAAGCTACGCTTTGCTCCCACAATGCAGTTCGGCGAATCGTGACGTCACCCCATTCAAAGTGAATGGGCAGAAGCGTTGAAGCGGCAACGCACGCCGCCGTGTGTAGGGGCCGTTACGACCGCCGCGGCGCAGCCGTAACACGCCGCAGCGCGGCGCAGACGGACCCGGTGGAAACTGGGGGTTAGCCTTGCAGGCTAACTTTAGCTCGGCGTGCAGAGGTTAGTGTGTTTACAGCAACGTTCCTCAATTATTCACTTAATCTGAGAAAAAACACAAAATCCTGAATATATTTTATTTGTCATTTAAAATGCATTATTACATTCTAACACCTAAGGTCCTTCTTTTCAGGTATCAGGTTATATTATCAAATAGATATTTATCATTATAATTAGTAGCATTCCTACTCTCTAAATATGGACCATAAAGGAACAAATACATGTTGTTCTATTTGTATTTATCGTTTTGGGGTAAATGTAGTGTTTATTAAAATGCATAATACATTTAAATAAATAGTGTTTTTAAAGTGCAAACCATGACTGGACTCCATCCTGAGGATCCAAAGTGATTTCACGTATAATATTTAGCATGTTTTTAAAGCATTGCACTTTTTAATTGTAATAAAAGCGTTTGATTGGGAAAAGAAATATAAAACATAATAATAATTTAGAGACAAATCATAATATTTTGAATGGAAAATACATGTTTTTTTCTTTCTATTATATTACATTTAATTATTTTTAATTAAATTATCCTTTTATTTACTTGTTTATTATATGATATGCTCTCATAGGTCTTTAAAGTGTATTATTCTAAATTAAATGACATGTATTTATTATCACACCGCAGGGTATCACAGACCTAGAGTCAATTCAAATCATTCATTAATCATTCATGTTATTAACTGGAGCTGAGTCACCTCTACCGGACCAAGAGGAACCATCTCACCGACACACAACAAACAAACAACAACAAACAGCTGGTACCGGCCCGGGCCTTTCGGTACCGGCAGACACACACACACACACACACACACACACACACACACACACACACACACACACACACACACACACACACACACACACACACACACACACACACACACACACATACACACACACACACACACACACACAACACACACACACACACACACACTTGGTCAGAGTCAGAAAGTTTGGGGTGGGGGCGCTACTGAGCCCCACACACACACACTTCTCTCTCACACACTTTTTATCTCTCTCACACTCTCTCACACACACACACACACACACACACACACACACACACACCACACACACACACACCACACACACACACACACACACACACACACACACACACACACACACACACACACACACACACACACACACACACACACACACACACACACACACGGTAAGCTAAACTTTACTCACTAATTTAGTCCTCTTTGTAAATTTCCCCGGGATGACGTCACTCCGGAGAGAGAGAGAGGCCGCGGCGGGGCGGAGAGTCCCGGCCGAATACCAGGCTCTATGTCCGGCTGTGATTCTGACCCAGAGCCGGTCCCTGGTTGGCTCCGGTTCTTCTATTAGGGGGTGATTGGGGGGAGGGGGGGTATAGTGACGGTAAACCGGAGAGTTACCGGAGAGTTATAAACTTTAGAGAAAGAGAGGAAAGAGAGAGAGAGAGGCTGGCCGGGGCCTGGCCGCGCGGCGGTGTGCGAATGCGCGTCCCCGTGACGGAGGAAGGGGGGGGGGGAGTCAGAGAGAGGCTGACCCGGAGAGAGGGGCCTTAATCCCCGCCCCGAGAGAGCCTCGACCCGCCCCTCCTCCAGAGGGAGGGCTCACTCTGACACACATTCAGAAAACTTACTTTAGAAACTGTGGAAAACTTTCATCTGGTCCAAAAACGCTTCATATAAACCTCAATAACGCAGTCTCATCTGAACACACGCACACACACACACACACACACACACACACACACACACACACACACACACACACACACACACACACACACACACACACACACACACACACACACACACACACACACACACACACACACACACACACACACACACACACACACACACACACACACACACACACACACACATTAAACTTATATTTTGAGTTTTAGTCACCCTAAACTACCAGCAAATATTATCCTTATTAAATGCATCCAGAATAAATGACTGTAAAACAAGAGACTTAGAAGTCATTTAAAAAAGACCCCGCTATATTAAAGTTGTATTTGGTTTTAAAGAACACACACAATTAACAGATATATTTTTGAAATTAAGTCAGACTTAAACATTCAAAATGTGACATTTGTATTAAATCCATCACAAATAAATGACCGTAAAACAACGTAGAAGTCAAAAAGACGCTCCTGAACCTGCCTGAGAGCTTTGCTAGTTTAAAGTTTTATTTGGTTTTTAAATAATTAATTTACATTTTCTTGTAGAAATACTCGATACATTGTGAAAATGAGCTCCTGATAGTTGATTCGGCAGACTTTTAATGCGAATAAAATATAATTAAATAAAGGGCTTTATACACAAATATCATAATTAAAACAGCTTCATATAAACCTCTATAACTCAGTCACATCTGAACACACACAATTAACAGATACCTTTTGTAATTAAGTTAGACTTAAACTCTCAAAATGCAAAATTTGTATTAAAACATCACAAAAAAATGACCGTAAATCCACTTTGAAGTCATATAAAAAAGACGCTCCTGAACCTGCCTGAGAAGTCATTTTCTAGTAAATCACCGCATGTGAAAGTGAGCTTTAGTTAATCGGTTTACTTCGAACAGACAGAAAACATCATCATTATTAAATCCATCCAGAATCAATGACTGCAGAACCTAACTAAGCATTTGAATGTTTTATTTTAATCCAGTCAAATGTTCACAAAGTGCTGATTCTGCAGGATTATATATATTATGGTATAATAATTATGGATGCATTAACTTCTTAAACAGCTGGTAATGCTGGAGTTTATTTTATATAAAGTAGTGACTTTTCAAATAAATGCAGTGCAGTGAAAAATGAATGAGAAATACTACAGTGACGTGCAGCGCCTCATAATTATACTTAAGTAAATGTTCCTTTCAGGTCAACACGTGTTCATCACCTGAGTTTCTGTGTGTGCTCCATTACGAGTTTCTGACTGTGTGTGTGTGTGTGTGTGTGTGTGTGTGTGTGTGTCTATAAAATGGGAGGGGTGGGGTCAGGAAACACCTGGAAGTCAGGAAACACACACACACACACACACACACACACACACACACACACACACACACACACACACACACACACACACATCAAAGACGGCAGTAACTCCTATAATAAAACCCTGGTCCACAGAGATGTAATGACAGAGAGTCACCGGAGGGGCGCTGCTGTTCTATTGCAGTTGATGTTTGAAATGAAGTACTTTGGCGCCCCCTGTGGGCTAAACATGAGAATTACACCAGGTCATTTGTGATCATCTCAATTTAGCGGAAAAAAGTAATTTTTCTAAATAAATACAATTGTAAAAATTAAAAGTAGAATAACTATATTAATAATTATTTTTATCTTATTGTATTTAATACACAATATATATGTTTCCAGCTACTTTCTCAGCTCCTTATTATTTTCTTTTAATATTTGTTAGTGGAAATACATATGACAAACTCAAGTATTATTACAATGCTCCTGAAAAATATTAATGTTAATAAATATTTGAAATATGAAAAAACTATGTATATAAAAACAAATTATTATACTTTTTATTTATATTTATTATTATAATTATGAATGATATTATTATTTTTGTAACTCATATTTTTTATATTCTAACATTGATTTCCTGTGTGCTAGGATGAGTTAATTTCCTCCAGGGAAAATGGAACAATTTCGTTTTGTTCATAACTGTTCTTCTGAAGAAAGACACTTCTTGGGATCTGTAATATAAAAAAAGACCTTTCACATTTCTGTGAAAATACTCAAGAAAACCGATTCAGCGAGAAATGCTTCCTGTTTACGTGACTGAAAACATTTAGTGCCTTGGAAACAAATATGTAAACAAATATTCCTCACAGGCAACATTTAAAACGCAATAAAACATTCAGACACTTACACACACACACACACACGTACACACACACACACACACACACACACACACACACACACACACACACACACACACACACACACACACGTGTACACACACACACACACACACACACACACACACACACACACACACACACACACACACACACACACACACACACACGTACACACACATACACACATTTCTTATGTGCAGACCAAGAAAATGTCCAACTTTGATAAAAACACAAAAATACAGTTTAATGATATATTCTCTTAACAGTGCAGAATTGTTAACTTAATAAAAATTCAAAATATTTTTACATTTTTTCCCTTACATTTTCTATATAACTTAACATTTGTCTCAAAATATTGTACTATAAAACAATTCTTCAATCAACATTTTGTTACTGAAATATTTCCATTTACAATTATTAACCATTTACAAATATATCAGTTATTACAGTTTTCCCTGAAATATTGTTTTTTTCATCAGTAATCTAGGTATTCTTTTCTAGAAATATTACGTTTTCCTCCAAAACATATATTTATATTTATTAAATTATTATGAAATTTCTTTCCATATTACTTTTTTTCTTCTCTAATTTCCAAAAGAGCTGCCTCGTTGGTTCAGGTTGAAAAGCTTTCGTCCAATCAGGTGCCTCGTAGCACAACCATTAAGTGTCCAATGTTTGTAAGTGTGGTGGTATGCAAGAGAAGCGGAGAAACATATGAATTGATTTGTGCACAAAGACATAAATAATTATTATAATCGTACTTTAATTTCAGAGCACCTTTGAATAAATAAATACAACTAATATACTAAATATACAAAAGGATAAAGTAGATTTCATGCAAATCTTTCCGTCTCTAGAATCTCCCGAAAAGGCATTTTGGTGAAAAATTAACTATGATTAAATATCTTTGTTAAGAGATATGAGAATTTCTAAAGGAGCCTCCCTGTTGGTCTAGCTGTCATCCAATCAGATCGTTTCTCCTGGAATACAAAAACAAATTTGTCTCAAACAATCATTTTTTCCCCGAATATGTCAAGCTTCCGTCCAATCAGGAGCCTCATAGCACAGCCATTACGTGTCCTAGGGAAGTGTACCATCATGGTTTAGGGGGAAATTGGGTGTTGGATTGAGTCTTCGTAATAAAAAATGCCACCAAACTAGTCAAGCCTTCGTCCAATCAGATGCCTCCTGCAACCCCAAGAGTACCGTTATGGTTTAGAGGAACAAAATAGAAAAACCTTTCAAAATATGCCGACAAACTAATCAAGCTTTCGTCCAATCAGGTGATTCGTAGGACACTCACAAACTGTCCAATGCTAGTAAGTGTCCTTTGGAAGTGTACCATCATGGTTTAGGGGGACATTCGGCCTCGGACAGCCAACAGTTGGCGTTCTTCCTGAGGCACAAATACACATTTTGCTGAACTTTTTTAATAATAAAATAAAATAACGTTCCATGCTAGTCCAGGCTTCGTCCAATCAGGAGCCTCGTAGCACAGCCATTAAGTGTCCAATGCTAGGGAAGTGCACCATCATGGATTAGGGAGACATTGGGTCTTTGCAATAAAATAGAAAAACGTTTCCAAATCGTCCAATCAGGTGCCTGCTACCACTCCCAGAGTACCGTCATGGTTTAGGGGGACATTGGGTGTTGGATTTGGTCTTCGTAATGAAATAGAAAGACGTTTCCAAATATGCCGGCAAACTAATCAAGCTTTCGTTCAATCATGTGCCCCATCAAGCGTCCAATGCTAGTAAGTGTCCTTTGTAAGTGTACCATCATGGTTTAGGGGGACATTGGGCTGTTTCTCCGGCGGTTCAGTGATATAGCGGCGGTGATGGACCCCCGGCGGCCGGACAGCGAGGTGCGTGCTTCCCTCAGGTTGTCCCTGAACCTGCGGGTGGAGTAGTAGTACAGCACCGGGTTGATGCCGCTGTTGGACGCCGCCATGCACAGCGTCACGGCGACCACCCTCTGCAGCGGCGCCGTGACATCGCAGCTCCAGCCGGCAAACGTGGCGTGAAGATGCACCGAGCGCATCACGTGGTAAGGCAGGAAACACACCACGAATGTCACCATCACCATAGCGACCAGGTGTACGGAGCGCCGGCGGTTGCATTGGCGAAGTCGTGCGGATGGACCCTCTGTGCCGTGGAGGCTTGAGCGTCTGGTGAGGCGGCGCACGATCCGACTGTAGCTCAGCACGATGGTGAGGAAGGGAAGCAGGAAACCGATCAACAGTGCCACGTAGTTCATGATGAGAACCGTCTGCGATAAGGAGCGAGTCGGAGGGTCGAAGCAGCGATAAACCCCCGACCTGAGAGAAGGAACAAATCAAAAGGGATGTTTTGTGTTCAAAATAAAGTATTTAGGGGATAGGTATTTTCTTTCCTTTGACAGACACATTGTTCTGTACTTTTTTTAATGTGCTGAAAGTGCCTTGTCTACAAAATAACAAATGACAAGATTTGTAGTAAGTGAGAAGTAAACCATATTGCCAAAGTGAATGTGTAATGAAAACCTAAATGTCAATATTACACATAAAATGCAAAAAAGGTAATGGTGGTGACATTATATAATAATTAAATAACATTTTATTGTATAT